CCCTCTCTCTCTCTCTCTCTCTCTCTCTCTCTCTCTCTCTCTCTCTCTCTCTCGCTCGCTCGCTCGCTCGCTCAATAAGTCTACTTCCTTTACTGTGCTATACAAATATTGCTTAAGATATTTCACAAAGTTGTATGGAAGATGAACTTAAGATGTTCCTTTTTTAATTAATAGATGTACACATGTCATAAGTAGCAAATACTGAGACCAACAAAATTTTGTGAGCACTCTCTTATAGCGATCAAATATGCATGTCATGGTCTGCATTTATGTTTTTTCTTCTCTTCAAATTTCTTTGTGATCCATATTTAGTAACACTATTGGAAAGATATCGAGTTATGTATGTTGCATTGTTTTTGCATCTTCTATCTGAGTGATAACTGGTAGCTTTGATGCTTATGTGGCATGTTTTTTACTTGCACTAAAAAATTGGGAATGTGAGTGGAATATTGGTTAGAGCTGTATCCGGCATTCAATCAGGAGGAGGATGGGTGGAGAATCCAAATCCCTCTCGAATTTTAAAGCATGTTATTAAGTGGATTATTTTGGCAAAGATCTTCATTAAAGAAGTAAGGGGTAATAAGTATGAAATCTTCAAACCTGATTGACTTGCTAATCCGATAACTTGTATCATCTGCCTATAGTTTAAAATTGTGTTTAATTTGTTCATGGTAATATGAGATAAAACGGAACAATAACTAAATTAAGTTTCAAATCGAACGTACTAGTTTTTATTATACATTACCTTAATAATATTTACCTGTTGTCAGATTCTACTGAAGGTAGTGGAGGATTGGATTATTTCTTTTGTTCTGTGTTGTGAATCTCTTGTAATAAGTGCACAACAAGAAGCTGTAAAATGTTGCTTCCTGGAATAGCTATTAAAAATAAAATCTTATTGCTGTTTGTGTTCTTAGTCAACTTCTTATAATACCTTTTACGCTCTTTATTTCTACCATCTTCTATTGCTAATCGTATACTGTCATACGTCTTGTGTATAATAATAGTCATTTTTTCATTTAGGCAATGAGGGGCGGGAATATGTTTTAAGGCGTATTCTTCGACGAGCTGTTCGATATGGAACTGATTTTTTAAAAGCAAAAGAAGGATTTTTCAGTGGGTAAGACAAATGATTTCTTCTTATCTTCCAGTCAATAAATGAGTCTTTATTGATTGTATCTACATCGATTGGTGTAATCTGCCGTATCTCCGAATACAACGTGTTTTGTTGTCTCATGGTTGATATATTTTGCTCTTGCTTGTTTAGATGGCTTTTGATAAGTAAGGGAAAGTATTTCCTGAATCAAAACACCAGCCATGAAGTAAGAAGGATTTGTCCAAAATTGTTTATGAAATTGTGAACAAGCTGCCAAACCATTATTTATGCTACACTTTTCTTGGTCCTTTATAGGTCTAGTGGTTTTTAATTCTTTTTCGCTTCAAACTAAAAAGTTTATAACCTGAAGTTAGATATTTGCACATACTAACATTTAACCTGAGATGTGAAGCATCTCCTTGTATGAGATGATTTGTATGATAATGTGGTGTGGCACATCAAAATTGGGGTTACGCCCCCCTAACTGGGGGCTGTCGAAAGTTGCAAATTTTAGGTTATTGTTAACTCAGGTGAATGGATCGGGTTGAAATCGCACTCTTCCCAACTAGGTCCTAGTCACCAAAGGCCATTTACTTTAAGACAGGGCTGTGTTGGGGTGGTTTTTGAATTCTCGACCTCTATTGAGGCTGGTTTACTGTTGGAGATATTAAGGTTTCGGAGGTTCAGGTTATGCGGTCAAATATATATATATATATATATATATATCATACTCCCTTTAAAGTGGGAGTTCTTAAAAAACTTTCATTGGTCAATTTGACCACTAATCCTTTTCAATATTAACATTCTTATCCTAATTATAATTAGTTATCAACTAAAGCCATTAAATTAAAATTAAGTTCCTGAATTAAAGCTCTCTCCCTTCAAAACTAATTAATAAAAAATTTCTTTAATTACAATTGGTTGACAACTAAAGAGTATAAAGAAGATTAACCTCCTGAATTAGAACTCTTTCCGTTCAAAATCATTTAATAAAAAATTGATCCAATTAGAATTGGTAAACAACTAATTAAAGAGTAGAAAGAAGCTTAGAGCACATTAGTATTGTAAACATAATATGCATTGTATGTGTAAATATTAACCAATTGATTGATTCCAAATTGTGGAATTAATTAATTATTAACAAAAAGTAATTGATTAAAGTATTTTTTGTAGTAGTCCCTTAAACCTTTCATATTTTGAAATTAGTCCGTCAAAGCATTGAAATTATTTTTAGGTAACACGGCTCTTAAGTTATTTGAAATTAGTCAGTCAAATTAACGGTATAATTAGCAATTTGAAGGACTAATTTCCCTCTAATTGCTTTTTTACTCTTGATTGGAGAAGCTGATATCAAAATAACTTAAGAATTTCGGATGTAATAGCTATTTCAATGATTTGATGAATTAATTTTAAAATAATAAGAATTGAGTAACCTAGTAGTTCAATGTGGTTATCTTTGCAAACTTATGAAGATGTTTTCTTAAATGATGATAGGTTTTCTTATTCTACAGTCATTAGGGATTAAGACAAAAGATTGTTTTCCCTTTTCTTTTTTTACTTCATAAGAATTTTATGTCATCTATTATTATTAGATTTGAGATATTGAAGAAATTGATTGCTATATGAACAAATAATCTTTTCGAATAATGTGTAGCTTACATTGCTCATGGTTTATAAGCGAATAATCTTTTCCAATAATTTATAGCTTACATTGCTTATGGTCACAACGACACATAAAATGAAAGCTGAGGGTACATAAATATAAATATTAAGAAAGTTCACAGATAATATTACATCATCAAGTTGAGATTTCAAAGAAACGCTTTTACAACCAAGTTATACTAAAAAATAAACCGAACAAATAACCACGTGCCATGCACATGTATCTCTCCTAAGATTATATAGATGCTGCTGCAGGGAACTTTTTACATCAAATATTTTTATATATATATATATATATATTAATAATTAGTATATATATATATATATATATATATATATATATATATATATATATATATATATATATATATATATATATATATATATAATATATATATATATATATATATATATATATATATATATATGTATATATATCATATTATGATATATATATACATATATTTATGTATATATATATACATATATATGCTATATAGATATACATTATATATATGTATATTATATATACAATATATATGTATATTTCTCTCTCTCTCTCTCTCTCTCTCTCTCTCTCTCTCTCTCTCTCATTTTTTTCAATGAATTAAAATTTTATGCATCTCCCAAATTTTGAAAGTGTATGTACAACAATGCTTTGCCAGTTCATCTCTGGCAAGAAACTAAAAAAAAACAAATTTTCATCAAGCTATTTAGCTTATATTTTTCCTATTTTATCATTTATAAGTTCAGGAATTTCTTCATTTATCACCTTTGATAAGATTGAAATCTTCACCTCCCTGACTAACTGAGCAAGTGTATGGAGCTTTCCTTGGAAGATTCTCATGTTTCTTTCCTTCCAAATCCAATAAACAGTCGCCGACAGTGCCATTCTCTTCATCTTCTCCATGAAACCTTTTCCTTTCAAATGTGTACTATACCAGTTCACAACTTTATCCCAGCTGCATGATCTCCATGAGTAGTTTAACCATTCCATCATCTCATTCCAAATATGTGCTGAATACTGACATTCAAAAAAAATGTGCTTACATGTTTCCTGTTGAGTTGTGCACAATATATACTGATTTTCATTTAGCATTCCCATCTTGCATAATCCGTCCTTTGTCAGAAGCCCGGAGAGGGTGACTAGCCATAAAATAACTGAGTGTTTAGGATAGTGTAAGCCTCCCCAAGTTGTATCTGACCATATAGCATGAGTTGCTGAAATGGTAAGAGCATTGTATATAGCTGATATCTGTAACTTTCCATTTACATAACAGCTTTCCATAACTCTTTGCAGGTTGTTTCTGTCACCAAATTTGTTAAGAGCCATATCTCTTACTTTGAGTAATTGCCTCCACATCCAAGAATCAGTTCTCTTTGGTTGAATCTGCCATATATCCAGTTGATGTATATAATTTTCATGTACCCATTTAATCCATAATATATCTTTTTTGATGTGAATCATCCATAGCAATTTAATTGCAGCTGCATGATTCCAGTCCTTTGCATTGTATAGACCCAGACCTCTCATCATCTTGTCCTTGCATACATCATACCCAGATGTATCTTGCAGTTCCATAAGAAATCAGAGCAAAGTTTATCAATTTTTTTCAGAATCTTGATGGGTAGTACATAGTTGCTTGTCCAGTAATTCTGAATCCCCATAATGACAGTTTTAATCAACTGAATCCTTCCAGCATAAGATCGCTTCCTTTTGTTCTGCCATCCATGAAACTGTTCTGATATTTTGCTTATCAATGGTGAGCAATCTAGACGAGTAAGCCTTTTAGATATCAGGGGCATCCCCAAGTACCTAACTGGCATAGAGCCTTCTGGGTAATTCAGGTGAGAACAAATCTGATCTTTGATATTATCTTCAATTCCTCCCAAGTACGCTGCACTCTCTCATTTTTTTTATCTTGCTTAAAACTGATCTCCTTCAATAGCCTAATAATTTTTCCTTCAATATATAGAAGCAATCGAAAAAGTTAAAATTTATCTTTGGTAGAAAACAAATCTAAAGCAGGGAAAAACTGGAAGCATTCAGTTCTAAAAACTTTCCTTTAGATAAAATTACTTTTAATAAACAATTCTGGTAAGGAGGGATCTGAAATATCTGAATTTCCACAGAACAGCCGATACAGTGTCGTGCATGTTGTGCATGCCCAGTCTTCAAATGAAGTGAAAGATAAAGGAAAAGAACCAGTGATACCTGGAAGTTCATGGATACATGTGATTAGAAGTAAAATTAAACCCAATTCCTTTTCTCCTTTGACTCACATTGGTAGTGATTTAGATCCCTCTACAATTGATAGAGGGGGTTTGTCATTATGAATCTCACATTTTGGATTGTCAGGGGATTGAACAAATCCCCAAAGCAACATTTGGTGAAGCTGCATATTTCACAGTATCATTTATCTTTTGTTGCTCTTTTGGAAACAAAAATAAAGATAGCAAATCTACCAGGTATTGCAAAAAAAATAGCTACAAAGTGGAAATGGTTTTCAAATGCAAACTGCACTGGAACAGCTAGAATACTGCTATTGTGGGATCCTGATATGCTGGAAGTTCAGATTTCTTGTTTTTCTGCTCAGCACATCACTTGCAAAGTTAAATCAAATGATGGCAGGTTCAATTGTGATATCTCTTCAATATATGGATTTAATCAAATGGAAGCTAGAAAGGATCTATGGGGCAGGTTCAATTGTGATATCTCTTCAATATATGGATTTAATCAAATGGAAGCTAGAAAGGATCTATGGGGTGACTTATTTTAGATTTCACAATCTATTGGCAACTCCCCCTTGGCTCTTGAGTGGGGACTTTAATGCGTTACTGGATAATGAAGAAAAGCTGGATGGTACTAGTTTATCTGATCCTGATCTTAATGACTTCAGAAAATTTATAGAGGATAGTCATCTTTCTCACTTAAAGACTTTGGGAAGTTTCTTTACTTGGAATAATAAACAAGATACAGTCACAAGGGTCTGGAGTAGGCTGGATAGAACTCTGGTCAATGATTCTTGGATCCAAATTTATAACTCCAGCCATGTTGAATACTTATTGCCCAGCTTTTCAAATCACTCTCCTGACTTTGTTTCAATTTATGAAGATGAAAATCAAGGTAAGAAACCTTTCAGATTTTTTAAAATGTGGACTAATCATCCTAATTTCCTTCCCACAGTTGCATCAGTCTGGCAAACACATGTCAGAGGTTTTAAAATGTTCTTAGTTCGCGCTAAGCTCAAACTTGTGAAAGAAGCTCTGAAAGATCTTAACAAGAAACACTTCTACAATATCAGCGAACAAGTAAATAGAGCTAAATTAGCTTTGGAAGATGCTCAAATGAAGTTGCAAGTGGATCCCCTCAACTCTGATTATATTGATCAGGAGAAAAAATGCATTACCTCTTATAATAAACTTTTGGCTTGTGAAACATCATTTTTTCAGCAGAAAGCAAGGATACTTTGGAGTTTACAAGGGGACAGATCCTCAAGTGTATTCCACTCTATTATCAAATCAAACAGGCATCATAACAGAATTATGGTCCTGTATAACAGCTTGGGAGATAGATTAACTGATAAAGAAGACATGGTAAATGAGCTTATTATGTTCTTCAAAAATCTTATGGGCTCTGCAGTTGAAACAGCAAAACCAGACATCAACATAATAAAGAGTGGAAATTGCCTGAATGAAGCTCAAGCTAGATTCCTTGCTGCTCCAGTAACAAAAGAAGAGATTAAACATGCAGTGTTTTCTATGCCAGATAATAAAGCACCTGGACCTGATGGTTTTAGTGCTTCATTTTATAAATCAGCTTGGACTGTTATAGGTGATGATGTTACTCTTGCGATTGAAGAATTCTTCAAGACTGGAAAATTACTGGGGGCTGTTAATTCCACTTCTATTACGCTCATCCCCAAGGTAAATTGTCCCAAATATCCCTCTGATTTCAGACCTATATCCTGCTGCAACTGTCTTTATAAGTTCATCTCTAAGATTCTGGCTAATAGAATTCAAGCAGTCCTGAGCATTCTCATTAACGAAGCACAATGTGCTTTTGTTAAAGGGAGACAAATACAAAATAATATTCTGTTAGCTCATGAAATTGTTAAAAATTATGGAAGGAAGCATATATCTCCAAGAGCAATGTTGAATATTGATATCAAAAAAGCTTTTGATACAATTAGCTGGAAGTTTTTAGAGGAGATATTAAATGGTATGGGATTTCCAAAGGAGATGATAAATTGGATTATGGTTTGCATATCCACCCCCAAATTTTCCATCTCTCTTAATGGCACTCTACATGGCTATTTTAGAGGTGAAAGGGGTTTGAGACAAGGAGATCCCCTCTCTCCCTACTTGTTTATCTTGGGCATGGATTATCTTTCAAGGAGTCTAAGTAGACTGCACCATGACAGGAATTTTAAGTTCCATCCAAAGTGCAAAAAATTAAAAATCACGCACTTGATTTTTGCGGATGATTTGCTTCTTTTCAGTAAAGGTGATCTTGTTTCAATTCAAATGCTACACAAATTATTAGCTGAGTTCAGTGCTACTTCTGGGCTTGAAGCAAACCCAAGTAAGAGCTCAATCTTTTATGGGGGAGTTGGAGACACAGTTAAGACATCTATCAATGCTTTACTGGGATTTACAGAAGGAAAACTGCCTATTAGATATTTGGGAATGCCTCTCATTTGTAAAAGGCTGTCATTTACAGATTGTCTTCCACTTATCAGCAAAGTCTCTAAACAATTTCAGAATTGGATCATCCATAGAAAGTTATCTTATGCTGGGCGTTTGCAAGTTATCAAGAGTATAATCTTGGGCATACAAATCTTTTGGACATCAAGCTATGTGCTCCCCTCTAGAGTTTTGAAAAAAATTGATGAATTATGTAGAAATTTCCTCTGGGGGAAAAATGAGCAAACCTTCAGACCACCTTTGGTTTCATGGGATACAGTGTGTCTAAGCAAGATTTGTGGTGGTTTAGGTGTTTTCTCTGCTTTTATTTGGAACCAAGCTGCTGTTTTAAGAACTATATGGCATATTCATGAAAATAAAGAAGCAATGTGGATCAAATGGGTGCATGGCACCTACTTAAAGCATAGAGATGTTTGGAGTGTGGAAGGGAAGACAAATGATTCTTGGTTATGGAGACAAATTTTGAAAATCAGGGACAAAGCCATCATGAAATGTGGAAGTGTAGAAAATTTGAAGAATGTTATCAACTACTGCTTGCTTAATTCCAAAATCCAAATATCCAGACTTTATAATGCTCTATCTCTCAATGCAACGAAAGTCTTATGGTATGAAACTGTTTGGGAACCTTTATGCTATCCAAAACATGCATTTGTGTTATGGTTAACCTTTCAAGATAAGCTTCTTACTCAAGACAAACTTCATAGGCGAGGGATTATCCAGACAAATTGCTACGTTCTATGTAATGGATCAAATTTGGAGGACCGTAATCACCTATTTTTTGGGTGTGCCTTCTCAAATGAAGTCTGGAATGGAGTAATGGATTGGCTACAATATTGTAGGCGTCGAAAAATGCTTGCAGGCATCCAAATACCACTCAAAACAATATGGAAGAACAATTTACACGTCATCGGGCAACACAAGGTGGCGCAGCAGCCCATGGTGCCGCGGCTAAGGCGCGACAGCACATAGTGCCGCGGCTAATGCGCGACAGCACATAGTGCCGCGGCTAATGCGCGACAGCACATAGTGCCGCGGCTAAGGCGCTGCAACCTAGGGTGCCGTGGCTATGTTAAAGGAGTGCTGTGGCGGTTACAAGGCAGTTATATAATGATTTTTTGAGGCTTACGTGGCAGCATATCAGAAATAGAACGTGTGCTGACGTGGACAAGCATTTAAAACACGAAAAAAGTGGTTAAAGGTCGTGGGAGAACGGTTTTAAGCACGATGGAACGTGCTGATAACCGTCTCTTTGGCCGCGGCAGCCTATACTGCCGCGCCAATAGATTCGGTGATTCCTAGAGATCTAAGCTCAGACTTGATCTTTGGAAGAACGGACATCTTACATCGATAAGATATTCGTTTTCAAATCTTTACTTCGATAAACGAAGGAGAGATCCCTAAACAACCTCACGATCTACGAATCGGTGGTCCACGAGCTAAAGCGTTCCCGGCACAGGCAAAGTCCCACAAAAACAGTAGTTGATAAACGACTTCTGTGTTATTTTCTCGAAAGTTGTAATTTTGTTTATTTTTCATTGTAACATTCTGTAAGCAATCGAAGTTTAATGGAATCTGCAATGGAAACGACTTTCGCTGAAAACAAACTGGCGACCACAGTGGGAGCCAGCGGCCTCGCTGCCGAGGCCGCAGTGTCGCAGCCGATCAAAATCATCGTCACTGAAGAGATCGAATACGAATTCGATCAAGCAAAATTCGAGGAGTACTTGTCATCCTCATCCTCAAAATCTTCCTCGTCCCGCAAGTGCAGGAAGATTTCTTCTTCAAAGAAGGTTTCCAAGTCTCCAATTCAGATGAAGACCGCAGATGAAGATTCTTACCAAGTCATCGCCAAGGAATCTCTCTGCAACATCTCTG